TATTTATAAACATTAAACCAAAGCCAAGAGTGACGAGTAACATTCTTTTTACAAATGTAAGGAATAGAAAGTACAGATACTTGTGTGAAAATGTAATGAGTAGAAGTCAGAAGTAGGAATAAAAATAAGTAATTTGAGTTAAGTCTTTGTTACTTGACACCTCTGTTAATTAATAAATGGTTAATCCAATGTGAAGCAAGGACATAATTGATTTAGACTGTTTTTTTTCCTATCAGCATTTATTTTTTTACTGTCTCATTTCTGTATTTGACCAATCTGTTTCTGTAAGTAATCAGCACCTCTATTTAGGAGCAGATGTGAACCATGCTTATCTTTGTTTTGCCATGGATGCTCATTCTAGTAATCTACAGCAAGATCCAGTGTGTCAGCTTGAAAGCCCTCATGTTTTTAGTTTAGTTAAATAGGGGTGAGATTCCACTAGCTTTTGTCCCTTCTGAAGGCTGTTATGCTTGCTTTTAAAAGTACAATAAACAATCAGATAAGTGAAAGTTGAGGTGTGTTATTTATGTGGAAATCCAACTGTGAAAGCTGTATGGTTGAAAGTTAGAACTGATAGAGAGTACAGATTTGTTATTCTAGTATTATTCTTGCTACTTTGTTGAAGTTTTATGTAGTATAAAAAAAGGTTAAATTTTTAGGAAAAAGGTTAAAAAATGTCAGCCAGACTTTATTTCGGCTTCTAAGGTAATCAGACATATTTCGTTCATAATTACTTATGAAGAAAAAAAACTACATATAGTTCTGACCAAAAAATCTTGAGGGGAAGCCTTTAGTTCCAGGGATTCCCAACAATTTTTAAATGTATACTGTACAGTCTAGATTTTAATTGAGTAATCCTTAAATCTATTATTCACTTAAGAATATTTCAAGTCTGAATTTAAAAGTTCCAAGAATATTTTACATAATTAGTTAACAGTCGTGGGAATAGAGCTGCCCTGTTTACCATCTGACCTTCTTGTATTTATACCAAAACACAGAAAAACGACAGCGTACAGAAAGAACGTAAGTCAGTTATAAGTAAGGACAAAACAGTTCACTGTGCTTGGACTTTCAGACTTTAAGGTTTTTAAATAGGTAAGTTATTTTAATTATCAAGACTGGTTGGCTATCTTCAGTTGCCAACACATTTTAGACTCTTTCTGTGCTTTGAATTGGCTTGTGTTCGTAAAGCAGGGCTGAAATATGACTTCAGAAGAAAAAAGAAAAAAAAGTGCAGGGTTTTTCCTTTAAAACAAACATCAACATATGTTGGTTTTGATTATTTGTTTCTTTGTCACTGGATCTAATATTAATAGATCTTATTGGAACGCTTAAGGGAAAACCTGCAAGGACAAATATAGCAGTAATGTTTTTTGCTTTGTGTTTGGTCTGTACTTCAGTTATCAAACCAAACAATATACCGGTAAACACATTTCTATTTTGTACAGAATCGCTTTAAACTAATTAACGTGGGCAACCATTGCAAGTTAAGGTGTTATGCGTATTTGTCATTTTTTAACAAAGCAGTTATTTTTTGTCTTTATTTTGAACACTCATGCCAATGTTTCACAAGAGAGACATTCTCACTTAGATAACTTCTTTGGTTGCCCTGAGGAAAATCTGATTAGATGTTTCAAATGGAGCATCATCAGAGTAAAGCTATCTCACTTAACCAGATGATGTGAATTCATGACCATGAGATGTGAGATTTGGTTGTGTTTTGATCTGATACTTTTGCTCTAACTTGTATGAATATAACCTCTGATATGGCACTGGATGTACAGGTGAGCTATGTCCAGACAAGTAGTCAGTGTGCAGCCAAAGACCAAGGCCAAACAGGTCGGAGAGTGGAGCACTGGACTGTGTGAGTGCTACAAAGACATCGGAGACTGTAAGTGAGCCACGTGATGTAAAACAAGTGATTTTATGATATTCAGGCCAGCTTCCCTTTATGTATCAGCTGATTGAGCACTTTGTGTGTGTCTGTGTGCGTTTGCAGGTTGTTTTGCTTGCTGCTGCCTCCCGTTGTTTACCTGTAAGGTTACCAGTGCAGTTGGTGCCTGCCCGTGCCTGCCTCTGCTGGACTGTATCAGCTGTGTCCCTCCAGCCTCTCTGGCCATGAGGGCTTCTGTCAGGGAACGATACGGCATTAAGGTGTATCCCATCACACATTCTCGCTTACTCAGAAATTAATCTGTTGGTCTTTCTGAACGTCCGCCCTAACCCCAAAATCCTTAAATCGCTATATAGAGGGGGGACCATATGGGGTGGGGGAGCTGTTGGTCACGTAACTCCACCTCCCCACATAATGCCTGCGACATCTTTGTCATTTGTCTCCGCTGTCGCTGTGACAGCAAATCCCATAATGCTTTGCAAAGAGAGTTCCACAGAAAGCGTTCCGGGATACATCTGCTTGTCTAGTGACCATGGATGATCACTACTTTTCTATCACGAGGAGGAAGGCTAAGAGAGATGGAGTTGGAGGAAGTTAGAAGGGAAGTTAGACGAGGAACCAGCACTTAAGAACTGAACAGAGAGCATATTTAAGGGAGACTGAAACAAAGAGTGGACTAATGAGCAGATTGGGAGCAGGTGTGAACAGGGCAGAATCAGGAAAGGAGCTAGGGCAAAAGGAGAACACAAGAGGGTAGCAGAGGGCGACAAACAAAAACCTGAAGACTGAAAATAGCCAGAAAACACAACAAAATAAGAACCAAACCACTAAGACTAGAAAACATGGAGCAAAGCAAAACTGAATACTCAAAAGAAAAACATAAAAGAACCAGAACTCTGACATATAGTGCCCTATATAGTGGTTAGTGCAGACATTCGGACACATCCAGTGTCTTGTTATCAAAACACAGATATTTTTAGAGGTTAACATCTGAAACCTTGAGCAAGGATGATTGACTTGATACCATATCACAATTGCTATAGAAATAATGTAAC